TATAGCCTTATAGATCCCTTTAAAGGATTACACCCCCGGCCTGAGCCCCTCTGCTCCCGGTTTAGGGTTTAGGGCTTAGACGGTTTAGGGCTTAGAGGGTTTAGGATTTAGGGTTTAGACCCTAAACCCTAAACCCCGCGCCCCCGGCCCCACGCAAAAGAGGCATGTGACAGCATCAGACATGAAGAATTGGAACTGTATTTCTCGGGGTCCCCCGACAAGAGGCTCTTCGAAATACAATCGTAGTATAGAAACCCCACTCGAAACACTCAGGTCCTTATGACAAGAGCTTTCCGGGATCCACGCTTGGAGGAGGCCGCAGGGGATGTGCCGGAGATGGCAGGGCTTTCTTTTGCCTCACAGCAGCTTGCGGAGACGTCTGGGAAGGGTCTGAAGGAGGGGTCTTGAAGGGGTCTAAAGCGTTCGATAAGCAAAAAGTAAATGATTCCTGACAGGGCTTATGCAGGTTCTAGAAGGGTTTCACAAATGTTCTACAAGGGGTCTTGCACGAAAGCAACAAGGGCTCAATAGCGCTTTGGGCTCTGCAAGGGTTCCAGAAGGATTTGAGAGGGGCTCTGAGGAAGCTTTGGGAGAAAGGCTTTCTTCGGACTTTTTGGGCTGGTTGAGTGGCTCAGAGTCAGAGTCAGGACTTCATCGGCTCAGGGCTTTTGAGTCGGAGTTTCCTCAGACTTCGACTAGCCTCGAGGATCGGCTCGCCATACTTCTTGCAGACGTGCTCGTAGACCTCCCACTCGGAGCCAGCATACCTGGCAGGAGTCCATACTTGGGAGTTTCCGAAAATTAGGGTACCCTATTTTGGGGTCCTTATAATAAGGATCCTACTATTTAGGGTACAATATTAAGGTCCCCTATTTTCGGAAACCCCCACTTTGGAACCTATCAACTCACTGAAGGAACCTCAGATTGAACAAACCACCGTGCGCGGAACACTGAGACCCAATACCCTAAGCCTTGGAACCGACAGCCGAAGGCCTATGCACCCGAAAACCGGAGACACGAAAAGCCCTACATCCTGTGCACCCGGAGTTCTCGAGTTCACAGGCAGGACCCTAAACCTTAAACCCTAGACCGTAAACACAAACCCCCAAACCCCAAACCATGACTGCCGCACTTCTCGAAGATCGAGTCGAGCTCGGCCAACTTCGTGGGGTTGCGACCTCGGAAGGAAAGCAACCATCGCAGTAGTCGACGCATGAAGGGTTTAGGGCTTGGTTTTTGTGTTTAGGGTTTAGGATCTAGGGCTTAGGGTTTCATTAGCAACCACTTTACCGGTAACCTTGACAATAATCACAGTACTTTTGAACACAGATACAGCAAAAATCACACAAACATGTTCAGAAAAGGTAATAACAACCAGAATATCGCACAAAGCGTCTGATCTCTAATGTCTAACCTACACTATGCCACACATAACCTACAAAAGTTTAACTCAAACAACTCCCGCGTGCAACGAGCCAGGGCTGAGGCGGAAGTAGATGCCACGGATCAACTCCCTGAGTCGAGCTGCCTCGCGGGTCGAGGCTTCGCGGCTGAGGGCTTTGGGGTTCAGGGTTTAGGGTTCAGGGTTTAGGGTTTAGGGTTTAGGGTTTAGGGTTTAGGGTTTCTGGCTTAGGGTTGAGGTCTTGGGGGTCCAGGGTTTGGGGTTCAGGGTTTCGAGTTCAAGGTTTAAGGCTCGGGGTTTGCGCCATCTGGGGCTTAGGGTCTAGGGTTCAGGGTTTAGGGTTGAGGGTTTCGGCACTTGGTTTATGCACAGCTGCAGAGGTCCGCCTTCATGGTGTCCTGAACGCTGGGGCCTGCCAGAATGCTCTCTTTCCCCGCCCTCCCAGTCTAGGGACTGAAGAGTCGTTGCTCCGAAAATCCGCCCCTTAAGATGGCATGCGATTCATTCATGTTAGCCCTCTCCCTTTCTGCTGCATGGAAACATGGAGCCTGCCGCTGCTTCAGCCGCAGGACTCAGCGACTCCTGACGGAAAGGAGCATTGGAGGGAGAGAGACGACTATCCTACAACAGTACCTATACCATTACCCTAACCTCGGGCGGATTGAAGGGGATGGCATCGAGCACTTGGACTTTGGAAGTCTGGGCAGCGATGGGGCGGTCTTAGTGTTGATGCTGGGGTTCTGGTTGACGGAATAGATCAATAGTGCTGCTCACGAATAATAAGATGGACATTCATGTGAAGATGACAGTGCTAGTGACTAGCTGCTAAGGCACATGAAGAGGACGATAGCGATGATCAAGCAGCAACAGCAGAACCACAAGCGGCAGCAGCAGCTGCAGTGCCTGCATTAACATCAGCATCACGTTCACCATCCTCACCACTGTCACCACCGTCGCCACCCTCACCATCAACATCATCGCCCCTGTCATCAGCATCAGCAATAAACCTCAACAGAGGCAACCTTTGTTCATCAGCGTCATCATCGCCAGCATCCACATAAACATCATCACCAGAATCATCATCATCACCAGAATCATCATCATCACCAGAATCATCATCATTATCGTCATCAGCATCACCATCATCATGCAGCACCACTGCACTCCCTCCTTCTTGTCCTTCTTGTCTTTGTTGCCCTGACAGCAGCTGCAATGGTCGGCAAAGTGTACCCTGCTTCCAGTTCTCAACAACATCACACGCAGTATCGCTCGGTCAACAAAAACTGGTAGTGGACCTTGTCCTTCTTGTCCTCCTTTTTGTCCTTCTTGTCCTTCTCCTTCTTGTCCTTGGGTTCCTTGCCGGCCGAAAAGTAGCGTTTCGGAACAAAAGCCCCAGATCCGCCGGAGTCTCCGGCCTTTTTCTTCTCCATGGCCTCACGGGAAGGCATCTGCCCTCGATTCTTTCGTAATCGCAAACAGCAATACATCGATTTAAGATCGCGAACAAAACGTTTCAGAACTGAGACCATGCGTCAATCTGCCTAAAACACCCATCAATGCCGCAACAACAGACGAGAACGCTTCAGCTTCAGAGAGTACAAAACCATCGAACTCGAGCCCAAATCAAACCCAGCCTCGGCAAAGCGTGGGTCCATGTAGTGCGCCCTGCTTCGATAGAGCTTTTGGTTTCCACTTGGGGTAAGCATGAGCTCCAGACCACATTCTCGTACACATGCCTACCCCACAATTCACCGAGGCTGCGGCCAGGGGGGCAACGGCATGCCGTGCCTTAGCAGGCTTTGACGAAACTTGTCGCAGCCCAAGGTTTAAAGGGCGCCTCTGCAAAGAAGGAACCAACCAAGTCAGCTCGACACCAGCAGCTTTCGAGCACAACATCAACAACGACAACAATATCATCACTGATCACCTTCGTCATCGTCACAAGCATCACCACTGGCCGACATCATGCTCCCGCTGCCATCATTGGCATCATCATCATCATCATCAACAACGTCCACCGTCAAGGTGAAACGACACCAAGAAACAGAGAAGGGGCTAGATAAAGCTGCATGCCTCGCCTTTTCAGTGAGAGGAGAATGTCGACGAAAATCCTAGCGATTACCATGCCGAAAAGAAGTACTTACAACCGAACGAGCAGAAAGAGGGAGAGAGAAAAACTGCTCCGACTCGCGTGCTCAAGATACTGACGCCGAGCAGGCCCTTTTGCCCTCGTCCCGGGTTCGCGGCATCGTCATAGGCATGCCGTGCCTCTGTACCAGGCGCAAACTTGGGATCGAAGCCTTTAGGTGTCTTACGGGGCCCAAAAATACCTGCTTCTGGCGACGTTTGTGACTGTTCAATATTCAACCTTCCCCGCTGCAAAAATAGCTACAGGCTTCTTAAATTAGATCGACATCATGACCACAGCTCCATGAGCACCCCTGCAATGACATCGAGGATTCCTGTGTCGGCCCACCAAATGCAGTGTCCCCCTTTCGTGATACACCCGACGCACTGGCGAACTCCGAGCCCCAAACAAACCCCCCTTCTGCACCCCTAAACCCCTACAACCCGAAACTCAAAACCCCTTCCTCAACGCAACAGTGGACGCAGTCGTAGGATTTCACAGGCCCGGGGCGGCGGCATGCCAGGCGGCATGTGCATACCCATCCCAGGCCTGAAAGGGGTAGGTGAGGCTGTGGGTGAGGGTTCAGGGTTGAGGGTGTTGAGGGTGTTGAGGGTATTAGGTTGAGGGTTTGGGGTTTGGGGTTCAGGGTTTGGGGTTCAGGATTGAGGGATGAGGGTAGAGAGCTTAGGCTTGTATGCGTAGGTAGTTCAGGTTGAGGGTTCAGAGGTTAGGATTATTGAAGGTTCTCGAGCCCTTAGGGGATTGTACATATCTTCCTGCACCCTAAACCACCAACCCCAAACCGAGGGCTTCGTGGCACCGAGACTGACAAGCTCCAACAGTCATCAGTCCAATCGACGCCCTCCCTGTCTTAAGGTTACAAACTCGCATAGTTCCTTTAGTAACTAGAACCAGGCCTTGAAGTATGTTGTACTATACTGATAAGCCAAATCGAAACCCCAAACAATGGTATTTGTAAACATCGTTTGTTTCCCCCCTTTCAAGGTCGAACCTCATATTTGTCGCATCTAAACACGTCTCAGCACAAGGACGACACATTTCAAGACGAAGGATCCTTCACGAGAAAGCTGAGCCATGTGGCGACTCCTGGCCTCTTGCGACATCGGCAACACCATCACTGCAAAGCCTGGCACTGCCATTGACATCACCACCCCCATCACCACCACCGTTCACGAAGGAAACTCCCAGCGTCTGATCTTGGGCTGTTGGAGCCGAGGTGCATCATGTGCATCGGCAGGTGTGGCGGAGGGCTGGTCAGACCCTGGTTCTCCTTGCCCCGCTTCTTCTCTTTCTCACGATCCTGAAAAGGGAGGGCACAGAGCCCTAATCCGCGAGGTGTTGTAAGGAATGTTGAGGGTGCTTGTGGGGCCTTATAAGGGTTCTGATACGGTGTATGCAGACTGCCTGGAGGGTTTTGATGTGTTTGCAGGACTTCGAGCTCCAGGGTTTCGGAGTGTCCTTGTCCTTTTCCTTCCGCTTCTTCTCCTTTTCCTTGTCCTTCTCCTTTTCTTTATCCTTCTCCTTCAGCTCCTGCAGCACGCGAGAAGCGCGGGAGGAAACTGTGAAGGCTTGATTGCACGATAGCCCTACCCACCTTTTTGACAGCTTTCATCTCGTGCGTCTTCTCCCTGCCAACGAAGCCAGAACTGAAACGAACTTGTGCCGAAGCCTGACTGTGAAACTGGGGTTGCAAATCAAGGCTCCCGGGGATACATTCCAAGGACCCACGGCTCTCGTATGCGCCAAGTATTCTCCAGACCCCAAACAAACCAAATTCAAATTGGCTGGCCTGTGATGACCGTGGCCGGTCCTTCTGCGGCCTCATAGAAGAACAGTCGAAGACGACAGGGTCACCATCGATAGCAATGCTCGACAAGAAGAGCATTGATGGCATTGACGGCTATTCGCAAGATGGGGTGATTGGTTGTTCCTCTAGCAAGAACGATGACGCCTGATGCTCGACAATCGTAAAGCCAGCATTTACGACGGTCACAATAACAAGCCACAAGCACTGGTATGGATGCCGTCACCAATAGGAACTGGGGGCTCCATTTTCGGTAAATCAAAACCAAGCGTCAGGTTTGCTTTAAGTGCTGGGGTTGCTCTTCTCATGTTCCCCGTGTTTGTTGCAGTCCAGAGTTGGGCTGTAGGGTTTTATGGCTTGTGGCTGACGGTTTACATTATGGTTCTAAAAGGAGGGTTCAGACTTTGAGCTTCTCGATGCGCAGAGGACAGGCTGCAACCAGAGCCCTAAAAAAGCCCGGTGACTCAACCTCTACATACTTAAACCCGACACCATGACACCACAGCACCCTCAAGAAACAGACCCATCGTTTGCAGGAAGCCCTGCCTTTGTGCTTTTTCTCATGGCGGTCCTGGCAAGAAAAAATCGAGCGTCGTGTTGAATCTGGGGGGTGAAGAGAGGCTCGGCAAATGGATGTGACTCCCGTTCACAGTTTGTCGGATCCCTCAGCATGAGTTCCACTATGGTTGTTATGGCCACTCAAGCCACCGAAACAGAGACTCGCCTGAGGCCCAACTTCCGGCTCAGCTCGAACCCTAAAGGCAACTGTCGAGGCCTTCTGAGTTCTTGTTTCCATAAACTAGTGAATCAGGCTGTTCGGGAACGGGTTGACGCTTACATCTTGGACAGTCAGATGGTGCAAGATGGATTATCCCATCACGAAGTTCAAACGAACCTGGGATGCCTCCTCGCTTTCCTCGCTGGTGCTGTCCTTCTGCTTCTCCTTGGCTCTCAGTTGGATAAGAGTCTCTCACTCCTGTCTCTTCCATGTTGCGAGCCCTAGTGTGCTCACATTCATGCTTAGCCCTTGAGTAGCTTTAACACTATGTCGTCGTTGTCGTCGTAGCACTACCAGTAGCAGAAGTAGCAGCTCTAGCAGTAGCAGCAGAACTAGTCCTGGTTGTCGTAGTCGTTGTGGTCGTCGTCGTCGTCGTGGTCGTCGTAGTAGT